CTTCGAAATGCTATACACAGACTCAATGAGAGATAGCTATATGCTCCTCCAGTGTATAAATAGATGCACCTTGACTGCCTACATCTACGCATATATCATGGAAGGAAATGAATTCTGAAGTCACAATTTATCCTCAACTCATTCTTCTCTTTGAAGGTGACATGTTTTCCTGTTGCGCTTCAATGGCAGTTGTCATACGTTGAGCGTGACGACTGGTGTCATATACGTGGAGTGTGACGCCTGGTGTCAAATACGTTGAGTGTGACGCCTGGTGTCATATACGTTGAGTGCGACACCTGGTGTCATATACGTTGAGTGTGACGCCTGGTGTCATATACGTTGAGTGTGACGCCTGGTGTCATATACGTGAAGTTTGACGCCTGGTGCCATATACGTTGAGTGCGACGCCTGGTGTCATATACGTTGAGTGCGACGCCTGGTGTCATATACGTTGAGTGCGACACCTGGTGTCATATACGTTGAGTGTGACGCCTGGTGTCATATACGTTGAGTGTGACGCCTGGTGTCATATACGTGAAGTTTGACGCCCGGTGTCATATACGTTGGGTGTGACGCCTGGTGTCATATACGTGGAGCGTGACGCCCGGTGTCATATACGTTGGGTGTGACGCCTGATGTCATATACGTTGAGTGTGACGCCTGGTGTCATATACGTGAAGTTTGACGCCCGGTGTCATATACGTTGGGTGTGACGCCTGGTGTCATATACGTGGAGCGTGACGCCCGGTGTCATATACGTTGGGTGTGACGCCTGATGTCATCACTGAGTTTCAGTGATACATTCACATAATTGCCACAGCTGTATTTTGCCGTACATCAAACGTAATTTGTTTCTGAGGACAGTCAAGGCTGAGTATTCTTTTGCACTCACTTTCTATAGTTTATGACTATTGTTTCAGGTTTCTTTTCGCTGAGCTGGCGTAGACTAGTGGTTAAAGTGTTCGCTCGTGACGCCGAAGACCCGGGTTCGATTCTTCGCGTGAGTACAATGTGTGAAGCCCATTCCTGGTGTCATCCGTGGTGATATTGCTGCAACATTGCTAAAATGTTGATATGAATTTCATCATTAACATGATTTGCTAATAACAAAAAACAACAACAAACAAACAAACCCCTGTGCAGTTATGAAACGATTTTATACAAAAGGTGCAGCGTAATGCTGCATAAATGAGACTTGACACCTGAGGTCAGGTGGCTGATTATCTTCCAGTTGGTATGTTGAATGCCTCAACAGGTTTTTGGGAAGTGATTGAAAGCCTAAATTGATATGTAATCGATAAAAATAAATTCCTAATATCCAATTATTACCATCAGATGATTTTTGTTAAAAAATCGTTATGCAACCTCAAAATAAAGAGAAACCTTTTTCAAAAAGGTGTCCTAAGCATTGCACTGAGATATAGACACGTGATAAATACAACTTAAATTCATAACAATAATAATATATGAAGTATATCTTAACTTTTTAAATTAACATCATAGTATTGATTTGGTGATGAGTGATCTCTGAACCCTGTATTTTGGCAACGTGCAGTCCTGATCACAGTGAAAACAGACTGGCCCCCGGCCTCTCTTGGGGTGTCGGCCTGGTTCCCTGGGTATTCTGCGCTGGCGCTACACTGCCCCCGCTCCTACGAGGGAGCCGCTAGGGGAACAAGTCGTTGAGGGGAGATGCAGAAACACGGTCTTTTAAAAATAACTACAGCCGCGCTCTCAACGGAAAATCTGGTCGTTTTATATTTCAACCCGAAGTCGAGAGGTCGTACATAGTTGTTGCGCTCGAAAGTAAGTAAATGCAGCAGATTATAATTCGAAGGTAGAGCATTATTAACATCTACACTTGTAGTTGTGTCTCGTTGTTGGTGATCGTCGGTATCTAGATATGTTACCGTTCGTTATCGGCAGCATGCCTGTTCGGGTCGGATGCACTTCTCTAACAAAGTTGCATGTCCAGGCTATTTTTTAAAATGACTAGATTAATATTTCTTTCTGTATTTTATCATTTATGCCGCAGCAAAGCAAAACACTTTATTTTTTGGAAATAGGTTCAGTGAAACAAAAAATACAGCCATTTCTTTATCCCAACCGGCCACGCCCTATTTATCCATCCTGATCCAATTTTTGAGAAAACATGTCCAAGGTCGATATATTTTTAATTAAGATGAAAAATAATAAAACATAAAACTAACAAATATAGTAAATGTTCGTTCTCTTTGTTACAGCTTTCAAATTGCCCCCAAAATGTTGGCAATAATGTTAAAAGTGTCAAAATGTTTGGTAATAATACAACATAATCTTAACATATTTGTGATTGTAATCATTTTCATTGCAATATTCATAACATAAAACAATATTCTTCACCTAAGTTTTATGGAGAATGAATTGAGGTGTGGAAACAATCTTTCAACTACCATTTTTATGCAAAAAGATTTTTTTATAAGAAACAAAAGATATTTCAAAGACAAGCAAAATATCACAATAGATTTATTCTCCATAGTGTAGATATCGCTTACAACTGGAATGGCTAATGCTATATTTATTAAACAATCTTTATCTGTTTTTATAGTAAATGGTTATTATGAACAAACAAAAATTATAAACATTTAATGGGACGGAATGACTCAAGCTGTGAATGATTAACGCTTAAGACTGTGGTAGATATCTACACTTGAAAATATTACACAAGAACATAATTATTGCCATATATAACATATATAGAGCATAGATAAGGCATCATGAGAAATTTTGTAAAATATTTTCAAAAGTGATGTTAGATGATACCTACATTTGTCCTTCAATCATCTCAATCATGTTCAAGCAACTACGCTAAATGATAACACAATCCATATTAAAGCAATTGGTGTAACTTCTGTATATCTTCTGATTTCTGAGGTACATCACGGAGTCAATGGCCCTGAAAGAAGGAAAAAGAAAACCATGAATAATTAAGGTTTTGTTCCTGTGTTAAAGAAAAACATGTATTTCATTTTATTGCAGACAGAATTTTATTTAATCTTAATTTGATTTTGCATAATAAATATTCCAGATATTTTCAGAACAATTGTTTTAGGATTTTGTATGCGTTTGAAAAATGAAATAACATTATCTTTAGCATGATTAAAAATGTTGGCAAGAAATGTAAGGGAACTAGTATATTCAACAAAAAGTGTTCAGTCAATGATGGTTAGTAGAAGAACGAAAGAAGTTGGTTCATTGGGTTAACAGAAAGTCAAGTACAACACAACAAAAAGTTAAAAAACATTTCTTACAATAACTCTTTACTCAATTACTGTAGCTGAGAATGACTGTATTTTAACATGATGAATCTAATAATTGTAACATTTATCCATTATCAATGGATGATTTACAAGTTAAACAATTCTAAATACATACTATAGAGAGAAAATAGTAACTGCTGCATTTGCAAAAGCACTCAAATCAATAATGAATATATGATGTTATTTTATATGATCATAAAGGCGTGAATAACTTTTATATAAAAATAATAACAGTAAACTATATTCAGGAATATAACCTATTAATTTATTATTCATGAAATAGAAATAGAATAGAAATGTTCGAAGAATTTGTTTACAAATATTTCTTGTCTAACATATTCTTTAATACGTGATGTACAGTATGATACTATAAATGATGTGCCGGTGTTTGTAGCAGTATGATACTTTTTTAATATTATAGTAATTATCGTCTATTAGGTTATACTACACTAAATGAGAATCGCTTTCTCACTGAGCTGAGATGTGACTGCTGATGGCGTCTGTCCAAACAAAATGAAGAGATAAAGACATGTAAACAAATGAAGAGATAGAGACATGTGATTGGATGAAATAGTGTAATATGTTTATGTTTTTTAAAAGCATATCCAACCAGTAATTAAAACTGACCCCAATTTTAAGTATTCAGTGCCGTGATTTTCATCACCATGACTTATGCTTATTGTGTGTACAGATATTTTCCAGTAGGTGACATTTGGTGCAGATCTGGGGTTGATGTGTTCCGCTTCCTGTGCTCGCTAAAACTTTTCCTAGACAAGTTGGCCAGATAGTGTGTTTTATGGTAGTTTAAAGGCCAGAGTGTACCAATGTGCACATGGAATGGCTGTTGATAGCCTGGATTATTCTTTAAAAAATATAAGGCTACTATAGAAGTCTATGGGAAAACATTTGGTGTTGTGTAACCTGTAGGGTTCGAGCACTTTTCAGTAATTCATACTTTACATGATTTCCTGTGTTTATTTCACCATGGAAACATGTTAGCATTAATGTAGAGGCAAATTTAAAGGTACTGGGGAGTAAAGATAGGGCTGTTTTGAGTGGAATAGATTGTTTTAGTGTCCAGAATATGAGCGTTGCTTTGTTTTGTGGTCTAAACAGTGGGAAAAAGACCCTCACGGTGAGTCTTACCATCAAGTAGTGGTTCCCTGGCTTATAAATTTGTTGGAACTGATGAATTTGACAACAAATTAGGTTAAAATCACCACTGCCACAACAATGTGAGTGTCTAAGTTAATCTCCTGAGGGTCAATTTGAAGTCAAATGATAAGAATATCATGAAATTTGTTCACTGCTGACAGCAGAACATGTCACAAACCCTTGTTTTAAATGCAAACAGTGTAGCATATGATCAATTCTTTCTGTCTGTCCCCTTTGAATATGCAATCGACCTAATTTTCTTTTCCCTTTTTAAAACTATACCCCTTTTTTCACCCATAGGACTTTCAAAATGAATTTCTGTTTTATTAACAACTGTCTCATTGCTGTTATAGATTTTATGATTTGACATTTAATGTAATCTCAACACTATTTTCAGCTTGTAGAATGCCTGTTGGTGAATGGGGAGGTGTATCTTCACAAATACAGCAGAAAAAGAAGCCTTCACATCCAATGTGGTATTTGACATGCCGGTCCGAAGTCTGTTGTTGGCAGTGTCTAATCAAGCATACTCCATTTGCTTCGATATGCTTCACCGCCTTGTAGAAGTTGCAGTACTTGGACATGTAGGTACATATAGTACATTTAAGTGTCCCAGTCCAGTTAAGGCACCAAAATGTCTCACTACCAAATTCCATCACTTTCGGTCATCCTCATACATTAGAAATTTCTGACAGTGTCCCCTTAATGCCTCAGTGTGTAGTATTTCAGCTTCCCAGACATGAAATAAGGGCTGTACATCAATCCCAGAAGCTGCTTAGATGGAAATAATAACAACTGACCCTTATGGAATTTAATATTATGGGTCTGAATTCACATTTTATTGACATGAGAGTGTTCGATATCTTAAAATTATCTCCCCTGTTTACCCAAATACATTGTGTCTTTCTCTAACTCAGTAACCCATCAATTACTGCAGAGAAGCTCTGTTTTGAGCTGATATTGCCAAATACTGTTAATTGTATTTAAAAATATTCAGTTTAGGGCAGGGTAACCAATAAATTTCCAAAGTTATGTGGATTTTTCACTTTGTTCCCTCTAAACTGGCTTATACATGAAATTGGCAAGTCTAACAGCCTCAAAACAATACACTGTAAATAGTATTGAATTTCTGGAAGTATCTCAAAGTCTTAGCTTGATGAATCAATAGATTCAAGTGTAAGTTCTTATCATGCTGTGGTCTAAAAGTGATTTCATCTGTTGAAAGGGTCATTTGCCTTGATCGACTAACAGGCAGCAGGGTACTGTGGTCAGTGTTTCAGACTGCTAGGCATAATCCAACCCCTCACTTATTACATTCTGGCAAAGTTCATCATCCAGCCTTACATATGTCAGGATGTTAAAGCTGCTTAATGTTAAACCTGTCCAATTTCTGGCCTGAATTCAATGATTTTTGTGGTTCAAAATATAGTTTGGATTGATATAATCAAGGCAGTCCCAGTCATGCATGGAATTAACCCATGGCCCCTTTTTGTGAAATAAGAGTAAACTCCCATGGTATATGTATGATTTAAAACTTTCTCTATTAATGCAGAAGTGCATTTTGTATAGCTTTGGTGAAATAGACATGATATAACTCTTTACAGCTCTGTCAGTGCAGCAAATCCATATATTCTTGTGCCATATAGATATGTTGGACAGGAAAATGTATTGAAGCCTTCATGCAGTTTTATATTTTTTCTGAGAAGTTGCATGTATATACAGTACATAAGTCACAGATTTGCCTAGGGCAAATGTTTCTAAATTTTCCTACAGGTTATACTACACTAAATGAGAATCGCTTGCTCACTGAGCGAGCATCATATGTAAACAAAATGAAGAGATAGAGACATGTGACAGCTGTGATTGGATGAAATAGTGTAAGATGTTTATGTTTTTAAAAAGCATATCCAACCAGTAATTAAAACTGACCACAATTTCAAGTATTCAGTGCTGTGATTTTCATCACCATGACTTATGCTTATTGTGTGTACAGATATTTTCCAGTAGGTGACATTTGGTGCGGATCTGGGGTTGATGTGTTCTGCTTCCTGTGCTCGCAAAAACAAGCCAGACAAGTTGGCCAGATAGTGTGTTTTATGGTAGTTTAAAGGCCAGAGTGTACCCATGTGTGCACATGGAATGGCTGTTGATAGCCTGGATTATTTTTAAAAAAATAAAAAAATCTATGGGAAGGCTACTATAGAAGTGTATGGACCCAGTGCTGTTTACAAAAACATTTGGTGGTGTGTCAACCTCCAAAGTTCATCAAATAATAAACATATGTCCGACCAGTTCATTTGTTCAATGTTACTGCTGATGACGTCTGCTCCAAAGTATCAGCAACAGGGACCAGTCATTTGTTTCAATCTGATAAGTGCAGGAAATGAACAGGGGCCCGTAAAACAAGGGCCCCTCCCTTTTAGATTGTTCAGGCAAGAGTTACTTCCCTTGGAAATCAGTCGGCCTGGACATGCTGGACAAAGGCAATGCATCCCCCTTACAACGATGTTGTCACAGGGGCTTGTATTGCTGAAAATAATCCTTGGTCCAAGACTCATATACATAGATAAGTACGTATGTAGATGGCTATCAGTGAACGAGTGTTGGACCTAGGGCGTATCATTTTCAGCAATACTAGCCGAAAGCTGCGATGATCTTATAGCAGAGACCATATAATCTATTATATGGTCTCTGCTTATAGTAACTGAGTAATACATTCAAGCTACATGTGGAGTAACCCCCGCTTGTTTTCTATTTATTGTGATTATTTCGAGGTTTTAGGGTTAGGTTTAGGGTTTTAGGATTAGGGTAAGGGTTAGTGTTAAGGTTTTGTGATAAAAACTATTTGTTCTTAGGCATAGAATGACAAAAATAAAACGGGGATTATGTTCGGGAAGCTTTGTAGATTTACTTAACTATCAATGCAAACATCACTTGCCACCAGGACCACTGCAAACTTATCACTTAGTGGTCCTGATGAATTTTTATAGCCAGAGACCACAGGACCGGCGTAAATATCACACACTGCAAGCCTGTGTTGATGCTGTATCAGCCATGCATTGCCATATGCGTAGAAAAAAACGAAGAAAGAACTATACAGTAGACACAAAAACAGGCGGTTATACATCACGTAACGCCGATTGTTACCTTCAGTGAAGGAAAACATCATTTTACTGTGGACGGAAGTAATTACACCGTCGAAATGCGAAAGCACTTCAGTAAGAATGCATTACATTGGACCCTTCCGCAATATTCTTTTATTTGCAGCTTCGTTCAAGTTGCTATTTTCAGCTTTATTTTGAGGGGTGATACACATGCATTACACTGGACACCAACCGTGCTCCAAGCCTGTACTGAGTGCTAAACCCATGTATAGTAATTCTATGCTTTAAAGAGGCAAGTTTCTTATTCATATTCTTTTGTGAGAAAATACCGGTTACTTTTTTCATTATAAGCTTAGATACACCTACATGCCACACTGGATGAGGTCCCTAACCTTTTATTTGCGTATGGGTGTGTGCGCGCGTGCATGTTCATCCAGTTTGTTCTGGGGAGGTGGGGGGTGGTGGTCGGTTGTCATCAATTTTGTACACATGTACACTAGTGGCCGGGGAGGTCAGCAATTGTATATATGGCGTGCGGGTTGGGGGTGGGTGCGGTATCACATACTTGGTACATAAAATTTATTGGGCATCATTCACATTGTACATGTTTCTCCATAAAAATCATCATCACCCACATTTGACCACTTTCTAAATGCTACTGTGTAATCATAGCTTTGGCAATTTACACTTATCAGAGGAGTACACAAAGTCTGCAGTCTTGACTACCAGTTGTCCGACTTCCACTTTTGTGGAAGTTACAGTGGCTCAACGGGTTAGGCAGCAGACTTTGTGTGTTGACGTTTAGGTGGCTGACTCTCAGGGTGTGGGTTTGGGACTCAACCCAGTACTAGAATCTGTACTATACACAGAAAGTGTAATCCCAAATATAACATAGGCTAGAATTGACCACTTTCTAAATAGCACTGTGTAATGATCCAATCAAATCGTTAGAATCTCAGGGCAAGTCGTTAGGGCACAGGTCAGCACGATACGACACTCGTGTGATGTACAAGATTAGTATGCATCTGTCCATACGTTAACCAGTTGGGTAATACAATGCATTCCTACCTGAGGGGTAGGGGTAGGGATCTAATCCAATATGGTAGGAAGGTGTTCAGTGTAATGCATTCCTACCTGAGAGGTAGGGGTAGGGATCTAATCCAATATGGTTGGTAGGTGTTTAGTGTAATGCATTCCTACCTGAGGGGCAGGGGTAGAGATCTAATCCAATATGGTAGGTAGGTGTTCAGTGTAATGCATTCCTACCTGAGGGGCAGGGGTAGCGATCTAATGCAATATGGTAGGTAGGTGTTCAGTGTCATGCATTCCTACCTGAGGGGTAGGGGTAGGGATCTATTGCAATGTGGTAGGTAGGTGTTCAGTGTCATGCATTCCTACCTGAGGGGTAGGGGTAGGGACCTAATCCAATATGGTAAGTAGGTGTTCAGTGTAATGCATTCCTACCTGAGGGGTAGGGTAGGGACCTAATCCAATATGGTAGGTAGGTGTTTAGTGTAATGCATTCCTACCTGAGGGGTAGGGGTAGGGACCTAATCCAATATGGTAGGTAGGTGTTCAGTGTAATGCATTCCTACCTGAGGGGTAGGGGTAGGGACCTAATCCAATATGGTATGTAGGTGTTCAGTGTAATGCATTCCTACCTGAGGGGTAGGGGTAGGGACCTAATCCAATATGGTATGTAGGTGTTCAGTGTAATGCATGTGTACTAGCACTTCAACAGGTGGTACACGTATTGGTACACGTCTTGACTGATATGTGAGAACTTCATAGCATATCCATTAGGAGGCTTAAATATAAATTGTATATGTATTGGATAGATCTAATTATGTTCACATAAGGACATATTTCAATGCAGTGTTTTTTTTTACTATGGTGTACTGTAGGGATGTGTATTGGCCAATACATTGTATTGCAATAATTGTCCATATCGGGAGCGTAAGTATTTGGCAGTAAGTGCCACTAATTATTGCATGTCAATCCTATTTTCCAAATTCCAAGTCTAAACATGTATGTTTTGGTTCTGATAATAGCAATCTCAAAACAAAGTTAGGTTACAAAGTCAGAATGCCGTTTTGTCATGGATTAAACTTCTTTGTAATTTCTCTCACAACGTTTCAAGACCATTTCAGGTCCCTTCATCAGGTGAACTGGCAGTTAGGACTATGACGTCGTCCCTATGACTGTACACTAGGGAGAGTACTGTATAAGTGTGTTTGAAGAGTTATTTACATAATGATGAAAATTCATGCTAAATAATAGAGTTGAAAGTTGAATTGTCATTACACAACAACTGCTAATTACACAAAAGTTACTTGATAACAGGTTTCCAAAAAGAATAGTAGACTCGTTTTTTCTTTTATCTAAGGTTCATCATAAGTTAATCAAGAGGTCCCACGCACCTGGCAGGTATACACTTTGATCATGATTCATTGCTGGTTGATGTCTCCTCATCTCCACAGCCTCATGTAGTTTTCTCCGACGCCAGTCGTTGTTATTTCTCGAAGGCACCCTGATATCATTCCACATGATTACATGACATGGGGTATTTGCCTTGTGCTCTGATATAGCTGACTTATCATTTTGTTTGCATACTGACGACTTGTGTTCAGCAACCCGGGTGTTAATGGGCCTGAGAGTCTCGCCAATATACTGATCACCACAGCTGCATGGTATTTGGTATACCCATCCTCTAGGGTTGGGGCTTCCATTGCTAGATCCTCTTCCATTAGCCCGGAGGAGAGTCTTAATTGTTGTACCACTAGAGAAAGTTACATCAAAGCCCGCTTTGCTCTTGATTAGTCTGGCTATCTGATGGCGGACTAGTCCCACGTAGGGTATTGTGATCCTGATTGGGGATGGTTCAGACTTGAGGCGCGCTTCTGATGATTCAAGCGTTTTGGTAATAGTCCTGGAGACAAGACGGGTTGGGTAGCCATTGAGGACAGTAAAGGTTCTCTTGAGGTTATCAATTTCACTGTTTAAATTATCTGGGTGACAGATCGACTTTGCTCTTCTAGTGAGGGTTGCAATAATTGCTTGTTTGATCTGTGTGTGGTCACAGGAGTTGTAATTGATATACTGATCCGTGTGAGATGGCTTCCTGTACACAGAAGTGACGAGACCTTTGTCTGTAGATTGGAGGTCATAGTCCTAACTGCCAGTTCACCTGATGAAGGGACCTGGAATGGTCTCGAAACGTTGTGAGAGAAATTACAAAGAAGTTCAATCCATAAAAATATCTTGGACACATACCCATTCTTTTGTAAATCTTTTGCAAAAAAAAGAAATGATGATCTCACATACAATGTTGGCTTATACTTATATCATGTGCACATTTGTCATTAATTCCAGGATGTAGAGCTGCAAAGTCAAACTGCGCACTCTCATTAAATACAATGTCATTTGCCTGTAGCATGGGCCATACGCCTCTTTACGGAATAAAAAACTGTCTGTCTGTCTGTCAATGACAAAACGGCATACTGAAATGCCATAAATGTATAAAAAAGAAAATAGAACACCTGACTTTGTAACCTAATTTTGAGATTGCTTTAATCCATAAAAATATCTTGGACATCTAAATGCCACTGAAAGACATCAATGAGTATGTGGTTCTTTAGTGAACTTTGTTATGTATTTAATTCTACGTTTATCATAGACATTACAGATAAATAGTACATGATAATCATTTTCTATATGTAATGCTGACCTGTGATTTTTCTAAATACATTGTATTCAATTTCATTATACCAGCCACATTCAACAGCAATATTAAAATTGCTACTTCTAAACCTTGATCTAGCAATTCTTAAATGCCACGGCCTCCTATTAGTCAGTTTTCATTTCGGGCAATGAAATATTGGTATCTTACTTGTCCGTGGGCTACTAGATAATTTCAACTTTTGGTTTCAGACTGCAAATAAACTTGGATTTAATTTCATATATGCTCAAAATTTCGCAATGATGATAAAGTAGAGTTATCTTTCTTTGCTATTTATCACTTTTCAATAAATAGTCCAGTAAACATTAACATCAAATACCATGTTGATTTATTCTTTCATAATTACATCATCATAATTATGTCATAAAATCAGGGCAAGTGGAAAATCTGTCAGGACAAATTACTTTCTTAAAGTCATTTGCCCTGTGGCAAGTGTCTGTTTACAATAATTTTGAACCCCTGCAAAAATAGCATATGTTACATATGACCGCTTCGTAAATGGCATTGTGTATTCATAGCTTTCGGCCATGGGAAAGGGGTACACTAAGTCCTTAGTCTAGACTACCAGTTGTTTGACTTCTATTTGTCAAAGCTGCGGTGGCTGAACGGGTTAGGCGGCTGACTTTGTGTGCTGGTGATTCGGTGCCTGATTCTGAAGGTATGGGATCGAATCCCGGATGAGAAAATGTACGCCCAAATATAACATATGTTACGTTGAATAAAGAAGGAAAACATTCGTTGTGAATGAAGGTCTGTGTAGGTTTTAGTTTAAACCATAAGGATAATCACAAAAACTTCATATGAGTTCTTTACCCTATTGAATATACCGGTTCTAAGAAGAATACATATCGGATGAAAAGCATAAATAGATATACAGTACAGGTATATCGGTAATACTGTGCAGTCCTAGTATACTGATGACAATATTGGAGCTAAATGGAATAATTATAAACATATTCATTGCTTTTAACCAATTTTACACAATGCAGTATATCATCTGGCTGTATAACGCTTTGTAAAACATGTATTTAGTTTTTTGTTTTGATAGGATGATGAACCATTCATAGCCCTTAAATATGTAAAATCGGAAAAATGATGGATATTAATCAGCTGAATACAATCATTGTTAGGCTGTAGAAAGGATAAATATACATCCGCCATTGGCATTTTCCACACTGAATGTTGAAAATCACTCCCCAATGTTCTATTTAGTGTTTTGTGCGTGAAAACATTTTTACAGTATCAGATTCGTTATCATGCTCCGTGCCATACCATCATATTGTGTATGTCCCTATCCTAGGTGTTATAGGAGTGTGACAGCGTTTCTTATGCTTTCAGTAAACGCCATAAGATCCACAGATTGATGATGGAAGTTAAAAGCAATCCGCAGAATATTTCTCTGTCGCAGAAGCAAATGGAATGTGTTAAAGGGATTTATTGAAAACAGGAGATATCAAGAAACCTTTTTATTGGCACCCTGGAAATAGATGATCTCAACAACGAACCCGTTATTGGAACTATAGAAATAGGTCTTCTCATGAAAGAAACCGTTATTGGAACCTTGGAAATAGGTGATCTTATGGAAGAACCCGTTATTGAAACCCTGGAAACAGATGGTTTGGAGAACCTGAAACACATAGTAGTCCAACAAAGCAGTCTCATAAACATGTTGTGAGAGCTCGGAAACATTTTCTAAATCGGACGACTTGAAAAGGCACATGCTCTGTACACATTCGGGTAATCTTCAAAAACACATGAAGACTCACACTGGATTGAACCTTCATAAGTGCATTGTGTGTGAGAAAACATTTACACAATCAGTTCATCTGCAGGCACACATGAGGATTCACAGTGGAATCAAGTCTTATGAATGTGTTGAATGTGGCAAAAAGTTCACACAATCAAGTAGGCTGAAGGCACACATGAAGATTCACAGTGGGATCAAACCTCATGAATGTGTTGTTTGTGAGAAAAAATTTACACATTCTGGTAATCTTCACAAGCACATGAGGATTCACACTGGGGTCAAACCTCACCAATGCATTGTGTGTAAGAAAACATTTACACGCTCCGATAGTCTGCAGATACACATGAGAATTCACAGTGGAATCAAGCCTTATGAATGTGTTGTATGTGAGAAAAAATTTACACAATCACGTGACCTTCGGACACACATGAGGATTCACAGTGGAATAGAGCCTTATGAACGTGTTGTAGGTGGGAAAAAGTTGAGACATTCAAGTAATCTGCAGAGACACATGAGGATTCACAATGGAATCAAACCTCATCAATGCATTGTGTGTAAGAAAACATTTACACAATCCTCTAATCTGCAGACACACGTGAGAATTCACAGTGGAATCAAGCCTTATGAATGTGCTGTATGTGAGAAAAAATTTAGACAATCAAGTACTTTCAAGAGACACATGAGGATTCACAGTGGAATGAAACCTTATGAATGTGCTGTATGTGAGAAAAAATTTGGACATTCTTGTAGTCTTCAGAAACACATGAGGATTCACAGTGGAATCAAACCTCATCAATGCATTGTGTGTAAGAAAACATTTACACAATTCTCTAATCTGCAGACACACATGAGAATTCACAGTGGAATCAAGCCTTATGAATGTGCTGTATGTGAGAAAAAATTTAGACAATCAAGTACTTTCAAGAGACACATGAGGATTCACAGTGGAATGAAGCCTTATGAATGTGCTGAATGTGGGAACAAATTTAGACATTCTGGTGATCTTCAAAAACACATGAGGATTCACAGTGGGGTCAAACCTCAATGCGTTGTGTGTAAGAAAACATTTACACGCCCCAATAGTCTGCAGATACACATGAGAATTCACAGTGGAATCAAGCCTTATGAATGTGTTGTATGTGAGAACAAATTTGCACAATCAAGTAATCTGGAGAGACACATGAGGATTCACAATGGAATCAAGCCTTATGAATGTGTTGAATGTGGGAAAAAATTTACAGTATCAAGTAATCTACACAGTCACATGAGGATTCACAGTTAAAATCAAATTTTATGAATACGTTGAATGTGGGAAAAACTATAAAATCGTATCCTATCTCATGATTGACAGCTGAGTTGAAACAAAGGGTAAACAAAGTTTTCAGTCTCTCTTGTATCATTCGCCCGCGAACATATCCCACTGCTCCCATTCTCGGACAGCCACAGTCTCTGCATGCACCATGTCCTCTGGCTAGTGACGTGACACGTTAATCTGATCATTCTCTTTCTTGTCATGCTGCTGAGCAGTCGTGTTGCAAACTTAAAGGGACTATTTTCTAATTCTTCCTGCTAAGGGAAGAGAACTTGTCATCAAGGCCAGATGGTTTGCTCATAACCTAGAAAAACATTCCTGTGGACAAAGCCCGGCCTACATCATCTTCATTGACGGAACTTGAAGATTGTTTCAGACACCCCATCGGACTGTTATCTTGGCCAGAACTTTTCATTGAAAGTGATGTCTATATTTGGTATTCAATCAAAATATTGAAACTGCTGGAATTCAGAAGGAGGTTTCAAGCTCTCTGCACTTTGCTAGTACATCTTTTGGAATACAAACTGTAATATGACTTGCTGTAAGGAGCTTGTTTCACTGTGTGGAGTTGAAACCGAGCCATGCCAAATCTCTCACAAACGGTGGATATCCATCATGCTATGAACTGACAACATTTGATGAATGTTCAACTTTCGGTGACCTTTCTACACACCACATTCATCGAATCCAACCACATGCTACAAATCTGCGTTTTTCTACGGACCCTCAACGTTTGTCAAACCTCTCACATGCAGCGATCTCTTCTATTTTCGATGGCAAACTCTGCACATCCGATGAATCCACCTGGTTCTACTGCTGCGTGGGATGACTTCCCTTCGACACAGTCCCTCATACATTGCACTCTGTTTTACCTGTTTTATGGCATACTCAGGATGATCATATACATCCTTCGTTGGACTTTGAAGTAATGGTCTGGGCTGTGGATTCTGCCTGGAGGCAGATGCACACTGAAGCGTTTACTGAGGTTCGACCCCAGATTGTGCCACCGAACCGTCAGATCGTGTCGGAGCCGGATCACCTCCACCCTCAACTACATAGTGTGGAAGTGGACAGTGTGGAATATGTCAACCTGTTGCATGTGCTTGTGTGAATTGTGGATAATTTCAATTGTCACATTACCTGCAAGTCCCTTTATTACCTATATGGAGGGTTACCTAGTTAGAGCGAAGAATCTCATCATCTCTTCACTGAAGAATATCATCACTACTGCGCATGTCCATGGGTTTGAACTTGGCGATCTCTCCAAAGGGTGGTGCTCGTCTCATCCTAGATCTAGACAACCGTCCGATCCCCACCTTGGATCCCCACCAGTTCAACTAACCTACTGTTCGGCACATATATCAGCTCTGCCAACCACTTTTTGTACATACTATCAATCCTGTGTACTACAGACAAACTGGTAACATTGCTTTGATGTATTGCTGGGTGCAATCATGGCTTGGCTCGTCATCTTCATCATCATTTTTAAACATCATCCCTTGTCAAGATGTTAGTACTCCTTTGCCCAGATTTTAATAGGTTGTGACTTGCCCGGTTAACCCAGGACTGTGTTGTCCAGATTTTGGTCACTGTTGTATTGTGGAAACACCAGAGAACGCTTTGATAGTGGCAAGGGCTACTTGGTTTTCTAACATCAGCCCAAACCCTTATATCAGAGGTTTTCTACAACTGCATTCCGATCCAGAGATTCATCTGTCTGTTTTTCAGGATCGACGATTCCATGTGTGGATCCTATTACATCGTTACGCTAATGAACGTTCCTGAGATTGCTTGTCCCTCAACTTTTATCACTCCATCAACAATGTGAACATTCTTGTAGATCGACAATCCCCATGCACCGATCCTACTACCTTTGTCACTCCACCAGTGGAGGATCCTCACGTTTGTCATTTCTATGGCCATGTTGCTATTATGAAGCCTGTCACTTGGTTCCACTGGGCAATGTCATTTATGCTTGTATCGATGATTGCATTCAAATCCAAGCAGACTCTCAGACTCATCTTCAGTTCGCCTCTTGGCTGGGTGGATTATCGACGACAGGAAATCACAGCTGACCCCAATTCAGCGCCTTATGTTATTCAGGGTCGTCTTCAGCACGCACCTCGGGAAGATTTTGTCCCACTGTGCAGGTGGTCAAAGATTCAATGCCTGGTCGCCCTAGCACTGTCCAAAGGGGGGACGCGTTGCACCTATGGCAGGAGCTTCTCGGTCTGCTTGCATCCGTTCGAGCGTTTATGGTCAGGGACCTACCCCACGAAACAGATTACTTTATCTTACAGACCAAGACGAATGAATGCTCCATGAAGAGAATGATCAGACTAAGGTGTCACATAATCAGTCAGGGGGCATGCTGCATACTTTACAGGGACTGTGGCTGTGGGGAAACATTTACACATTCAAGTATTCTGCAGACACACAGAGGCTTGTAAAGCTAAAAACTGCCTTTAAGGAATGTACGGTCAATGACGAGGTCTCAGTACTATATAAAATGTAAAAGGAAAGGGGTGTAACAAGGTCAGCACAACAAGTTCGTTACAGGGCGAATTCCACAAAGCTCACTGTATTTATCCCATTTAAAGTATTCACACATTTCAAGCCAAAATATGTCCCTAAAGAATGAGGATTACAGCACAAAAATCGAAGCAGTTCTTTAGGAGCTAGGGTCTTCGGAAGCTTGAAAAATCATGATTTCTCGATTCAGAGCCAAAATCCCTGCTCAGAATTTGTAGCGGCAACACACCCATTTTCTTGTTTATTTGACAGTATACACAAACGACATGCACCAAAACATGTTGGACTGATGGTACCTGTCTGTGCGCTAGTCACCATTCTTTCGGAGGCACTTACATCTCACTGTCATAATGAGTTTACGTACATTTAGTCATCGCAAAGAGAATTGTACTAGGGGTGTCACGATACACCAATCTCACGATACGATACGTATCACGATTTTAAGGTCACGATACGATACGTATCGCGATACATAATTATCGCGCCTTTTCATAGCATTACCTTACCGGCCACGTACGCGTTCGCTGACTGGTCCATCAAAATAGTCTAGCCAATCACAAAAGCTGTTAGTTTCCAACCTATTTTTTAAGTAAAGCTAGCTACATCTATTTATCAGAGCGGTCTGGAATAATTTTACTATCAAGACTTTGACGGAGATGGATATAGCATAAAACTTTGAATCGATAAAGTTTTAAAATAGAATCGAGAGAGGCATGTATCGCAGAGTAGATCGAGAGAGAGAGATCGATGAGAGAGAGAGTACAAGCAAGAGAGATGAGAGAGAGAGAGACGTTTTTGTAAATATGTCTTCATCATCCAATCGATCTCAAACTGTGAAAGTGGATGTTTTGTCAGACATCACATTGTAAATCACCGATTTTATGCATTTGTATTAAAGACTCAGTCTATGTAACTGTCAACAAAATAAACAGCAGAACGCAGACTGCTGGCAGAGGGAGGGAGCCAATGGCCTGTAACAACGGCAGTGTTGGGTCAGGTCAATGCACGTGGTTCATATAAGGCACTTAATGTTTGGATCTAGGTTCAGAATGCTAGAATGCTAAACGTTTAATTAGAAATGTGTTGAATTATTTTAAAAAAGAGCTACTGCTCAAACTTTGCTCTTGGCATGAAAAAGAACATTGTGCTAAAAATTGTGAAATAAACCAACAACCAATAAACAAAACCTTGTACAAAAAGATACACAGTACAAGATGTCATTCGGTAGCAAACCAGAGGATCGCGGCATTAATGTTTCTAGGTTCATGCTAAGCAAACTACTGCTCATTTTGGATACAAGTACAAGAAGGTGTGTAATGTGTGAGAGATCTGATATTGTGAAAATAAGGTGTAACTATCTGAGAGGAATTAAGCAGGCAAGAGAGAATGGGTTCGAACCTATATATCTGGATGAGACCTGGGTCAATGCAAACCATACTGCTGCCAGACAGTGGCTTCCCACTGATCCCAGTGATGGTAGGAAAATACCAACAGGCAAAGGTGACCGTTTAATCGTTTTTCATGCTGGTTCCCACTGTGGATTCCTACCTGGATGTGATCTGGTATTTCGGTCAAAGAGCACAGTTGGTATGCACTATCATACAGAATTGAACTCGATGATTTTCACACAGTATGTTGAGGAACAATTGTTGCCAGCTCTGCCTTACAAAAGACTTGTTGTCATAGACAATGCTCCCCTATCACAGCGTTCGAGATCCAAACAATAGGTGCCTAACTTCCAATACAAAGAAGTCAGATATGCAGCAATGGCTAACAAATAACAATATACAATTCTCAATTAAGGCCACTAAACCACAGTTGTACTCTTTGATTAAACCTAACAAACCTCCACCCACATATAACATTGACAACATGCTACGCCAACACGGCCATAAGGTCTTGAGATTACCACCGTACCACTGTGATCTCAACCCAGTCGAACTTATCTGGGGAGACCTTAAAAGTAGAGTGGCCCGGAAAAATCAATCATTCAAGTTGAGTGATGTCAAGCACATTGTCAACACTGCTATATGTGACATTGACATTGCCCGCTGGCATACATGTGTTGAACATGTCAAGAAGGTGGAGAAAGAGTACTGGCTCAAAGATGGCTTGAAGGAGCAGTTGTCATTCGTCTGGACACTGATGACTCTTCTGTGGAAGAATGGAGTGAACTGGATGAAGTTTCATTCTGTCATTTTATTTTCAGATATTAATAGTATCCAGCCAGATATGCTCAAAAGAAATATAACTTCTTTTAACAATGAAAACATTGACTAATTCCAACGACTTTTAGTGTAACATGAAACACTCATTTCACATAAAATTATCATGAAAATATAAATATTAACTATCTATATGCTTAAAGCTATTAGAAATGCATTGCTTAATTTGGACCGACATCAAAACATAACACTTTTGTCTCCATACTATCTGTTTTTTAATGAGTGTGCATGATTGTGTGTGCTTGTGTCCGAGGGAACGGGACTTTAACAGTTGTTGAGTTCTAATCATATGTGGTCCGAGTAAGGAT